ATCTGATTCACAACCAACCACAAAACATGCACATGGCCCCTGGAACTGAGCTACAGGCAGAGCCCTAGGGTGACCCTAGTGAAGTTAGCTCTACTAGGTCCCTCACATTTCTCGAAGCCCCGTGGACTATTAGGACAGTACTATTGGGGCTATTAGGACAGTACTGACCAAGGCTATGAAATGAACTAATGGTATTGAAATAAAGACAGTAAAGAGCATTTAAAAAGCAAGGATGCTTCACCAAAAGTTCCTTCATTCAGCTCCAAGGCCCTCTACAGTTCTAGGGACCACACTAGGAATCAATCATAGCTCCAAGTCAGGCTGCTCCCACAGGAAAATGAAAACTCTTCACAGCTTATTTCCTTTAATTACATCATAAAACAAAATTAGAACATACAGGAAACAATAATAGTTACATAACAATTTATATATTTATATATATAAAAACATTTCTTTAGTCCAAAGAATTTAAAGCAAAAAGAATCAGAATCATCTACCGCCTCCTTGAATTTTATTTGTTTAAAACAATCCTCCCCACCCCCATATCCTTGGGTGCTGGAAGCATTGTACATACTGTTACTTAGCTAATGGAACCTGGTAAGTCCCCACTGGGGGACTGTGCAGGGACTGGCTGAGTGTTGGCGCAGGCCTGGTGAGAAACAAGCAAGCAGCAGCTCCCATACAAAAATCCAGGTCAGGCCCAGCAGCTGGGGCACAGGGGTCACAATGTTGTGACTGCCCTGCTACCCCTCAGGGAGTTGGCAGAAGTAGGGGTGCAGGAGTGGAGGTGACAGTTCCTCAGACAGCACCAAGTACCCATCCATCTGTCCCTGAGCAGTCTGACAGGAAGGGGGCTCTCAGGGTCACGGAAGATGGGTAAGGTGAGCAGAACCACCAGGAAATAGTAACTGGAAATAATGCCTGGGAAGAGACAGGAGGCGGCCAGAGTGGATAAAACAGGAACAGAGGAGGAGGGCAAACTGAAGCTTCTTCCAAATACCCTTTGAAGTGGTGATCACTGATTCCTGGGGTCAGTTCTGGGGTCACATCACAGGGAGGAAGAGCTGGCCTAAAGCTTCTGCTACACAGTGCCAATAGGATTTAGGAGTCAGTGTGTCCTCTGTGTGTGTGTGTGTGTGTGTGTGTGTGGTAAGGAGGGGTGTGGTCAAAGATATCAGGCTTACCCCTTCCTGTACTCAGGGCTACAAATTAACAGTCATCAGAGATAGCAAAGAAATGATCCTTTGTATACGAAGGGACCCTGGAGAGCACAGCACTTATTCAGGTCCTGCTGCAGTACTGGGGGGAATCGTGTCTTGGTGGAGCAGCAAGCTAACCACTCACAGTTTTCAAGCAGATCTAAGACTTTAGAGGTCCTCATTCTTCAGCGACACTAAAAATGAGTGAATGAATGTTTTCAGGGGCTGAGAAATGTCAGGCTAACGAAAGAAACACAGAAGCAGCAACTCAGGACAGATCTGAGTTAACACAGATAGTGAAGCAGAGACAACACTTCAAAGATCTTAGAGCTCCTGGTCCTGGAGGTTTGACAGGAGACGACTGTTATTCACGGTCCCACTCCCTCTGGCAGGGAAGCCCTTCTTGCTACCAGAGGGGCATGGAGTTGATGAGATGAAGATGACACACAGTCAATGTGTCACACAGCCATCCTATGAGCTCAGGACACATGCTCTTCCACAGGTAAAGCATCCCAGTTCTAGAATAATCCTCTCCCGTGAGCCTTGCCTACCATCTCTTCATGCCAACTAGGAAACACACAACAGAAAGGGTTACTAGGTTTCTGCCTGCTCTGGATTCTCGTTCTACGAACCACCCTGGCTGAGAAGCACACAGACACTCACGTGCAAACTCAACTCCATAAAGTCTTAGACTAAACACTCATGGGGCAGAGATCCAAGAACTGCAGATGAATGTTCTCCAACATCCCACATGTCATTTGTGTAACAAAAGTCTTTGCCTCCTGAATATTACATGTAACTTTCTTGAACTCCCAAGATTCACTCAGATTCAAGTGAAAGGCTAATAAACCGACTTTGCTAAAAAAGTCTCCAGAGATGAAGAAATCAAAATGGACAACACAGCTAGACTTGGCTTGAATGGGAAGCTGCAGGAGCCCTTCATATAAAAAGCTCACCTGCCCTCCAAGGTAATTTCCAGCAGTGAAAGCACAAAGGCAGGGTTGCAGCAGCTGGTGCTTAAACAGCCAGCGTATACGGTCTGCTGCAGAATGAAGATGGAAAGTCGGGATACAGCATTTACAGCCAAATTTTATTCTCAAACCAGCAGGGCTAATCACACCCTATTGATACATAGCTTTCTGTATCTTCCAATGCAAATTTAAGATAAAAATAAAGGTGAGGAAGTGAGATTCTTACTCCCCCTCATCCTTCTGATTTAGAATTTTTTTGTCCTCGGGTCATTTAAGGGTTTCTGCTTCAAGACCTCCAACTACTCTTCAGAGTTCTCAGACAAGCCTGGGCTTTTCCCTGGCCTTTCAGCTGGGCCCACAGGACAAAAGCCCAACTGTACAGTGCAGGAAGAGCCCAGCTGTACAATGCAGAAAGAGCCCAGCAGGGCTGAGTCCTTGTCCCGTCCTCTCACTGATAGCAACAAGATAAGCTGTCTGACTTTAAGGGCAAAAAGTCTTATTTTCTAAAGAATTTTATTTATTGGGACTGGAGAGATGACTCAGTGGTTAAGAGCACTGGCTGCTCTTCTACAAGACTGGGGTTCAATTCCCAGCACGAACACAGCAGCTCCCAACTGTGTTACTCCAGTTCCAGAGCACCTGATTAAAAAAAGGTGTGAGGGGGGTAGAATTTTATTTATTGCTGGGTGGTGGTGTACACCTGCAGAAGCAGGCAGATCTCTGAGTTGGAGACTAGCTTGGTCTACAAAGTAAGTTCCAGGACAGCCATGGCTGTTACACAGAGAAACCCTGTCTTGAAACACACACACACACACACACACACACACACACACACACACACACACACACACACACACACACACACACGTTATTATAGCGAGCGCACATGTATATATGCATGCATGCACTCCTGTTCTCTCCTTTTACTGTCATAACTTGGGTGTCAGGAGTGTCCAGCAAACACCTGATGAGCCATCTCAACAGCCAAAGATCATGATCTATGAGCACTTCTCGTCACCTCCTCTTTCCAGTGATAACTCACACTTCTAGCCATCAAGGCATGTCCCAAACATATTTACAAGATAACTGAAAAAAAAAAAATCTATGAACTTCAGTGCCCCACCCACAAACAGTCCAGATTGGAAGATGTCACAGCATTAATTCAAGATGAATGAATTACAAGGAACATCCCAAACTGTACAGAACACTCCAAGGAGAACATGGTAACTTATTACCAAGTTTCCTTTGAAAATGCTTACAACACCATTTTTTGACTTAGTCAACCTAGTAGACAGAAATCCAACCAGAAACTACAAAACAACCCAGGGATACTTTTATATCCACAAAAGGTTTAAGGTAAGAGTAGGAGCAATAGAACACACTTTTAAAACATTAAGTACAATGTGCTTCATATTCCAAATACTGGGAGAGATTGAGTTAGGCCCCTTTAGCCTTTCAGAGCCATTGGTTTGAACTCAAATTCAACTCAAAGCCAAAAAACAAACATCAAGGACCACCAAGCAAGCACTGACCTGACCCACTTCACTCAACAGGCCCTTGACAGCTAGGCTAGAAAGGACACATCCCACTGGAAAGAGGGATTTAAGCAGGAGGCCCCGGTGGGTGCTGGGAGACCTGGTGAAATGAACAACCACCTTCGTAAGGCTTATGGAGATGCAGCTGCAATTGGTGTAGGGACACAACAGATGACATGGTGGGTGATACTGCTTACAAAGATTATCTGTGTAGTCAAGAACCTTCTCCAGGCCACTCCTCCTGGCCACCTTGAGGTTTTGGGCAACATTCTTTTTACTTCAAACAGAATGTCACTATGCAGCTGAGGCAAACCTCAAACTCAAGAGCCTTTCCATCTCAAATCTGACATTGTAGGTGCCATCTCAACTAGGCATATTCTGGAGTGAGTATAAAATGGACCAAAAGGCTTCTTTTCTCCCTTTCAGACAGTCCCTTGCTGTGTATCCCAACCTGGCATAAATCTTGCAGCAATCCTCCTGCTTCTTTCTTTCGTGCTGGGATTACAGCTACACTCCACACTGGGAGTATTTTCTTCCTATTTTATTGTGTGAGTACGGGCACATGCATGCCACAGAAAGGACAACTTTCTGGACAACAATCTTAAGGCAGGTCTCCCTGGTTTCTGCCAGTGCCATGTGCTGCAGGATAGCCGCCCGCTAGCATGTCCTATCTCCACCTCCAACCTGGTTACAGCAACGTGGAAGTACGGAAGCACATAATTCAGATCTTTTATGTGGCTTCTGGAGGTTGAACTCCATTATTAGGATTGCATGGCAGGTACCTTTTGGCAGCCCCCAAAAGCTTTTCCAAAGCAGAGTTTTCAGTAAAGCTTTACTAGGTCTGGAACTACAGCTCCGTGGTAAAACATGCAAGGGTCCTGGGTTCCATTCATGGTCCCGAAAACAACCCTAAACCCAACCAATCAAACTAAAACCCTACTGAAAATTCTCTGAAGTATTCTGCATGAGCAAAGAGGAAGCATTCACATTTAGATGTCAGAGTTCTTTCCACCTGAGTGACACTTACCATGGAGTCTTAGTGTGATAAATAAGCTGGCACACGGTTCAAATCTATTTCCCTCCAAGCATGATGGGCCTCATGTTACTTGAGAACATGTCTCCTGCCTGACCATATGCAGCCAGGGCTGTATATTCATAGACCTCCTCCTTTTGACTTGTGTTCCTGGCCCAAAAAAGGTTAGAATTTGCCTTAACACCAGAGGTCACCAAGACAAATCCAATGAACCTGCATGTGTCAATACACTCTTAGAATAAAAACACAGCATTTTCAAGACTTTTGACATACTGGTGAATAACAGACTCATTCAAACTTTAATGGGAAAAAAAAAAGAGGTACTTGAATGGCTTAGACTTGGGATTTTCAAATGGATATCCACTATCCATTAATATCCAGGGTTTATTGTCAACTTGTTAGGCACTTAGGGAGGAAAAAAAAATCCAACAACATAGCTTACAGCTGATGGTCTCTCAATTACTTTTGGTTTTGTTCGAGAGACCCAGGGATCTAAATCATTTGGAAGCATGTGTGCCGGTGTGTGTACTGAGTTTGCCAGGTAAAGCAGTATGAGCCACCACAGTACCATTTACTCAGGGTGCTGGGTGAGTTGGAGGGGAACTGGAGCCCAGGTGCCAACTGGAGACCAGTCAGCTTGGCAACGTAACAGATGGTCTCTGAGGAAAAAAAGAAATTTTGTGCAAGGTAATCTGAACATAAAGGGGAGAAGGAATAAAACAAAACAAACAAACACAAACAAAAAACAAAAACAAAAGCCATAAGTAATAGCTTTCGAAAGAGCATAAAATTTTAAATAAGTTTAATATGATAAATAATTCTGGTAGTATAGAATTCTAGCAACTTTCATCTGATTGTTTTCTACATTAATGGAGAAATAAATCAGACTTTATTCTTGTATATTCTGGTAGAACCAATACCAATAGCATTAAAACAGCCCTTTTAACATCCTGGGATCATACTGGCTTGCATTCCTTCATCCTAAAAGCCTTTCCCCCAACACCCTATAAAACATCACACATGGCCTCTAACATTTGAGTTTAGAAATATACTTTAGAAACTGTGGTTTCTGTGGGTTCTTTTGAAGAGGCTTCTTCTTGACTCTGAGCCATAGGTACTATGGCTTTTCTTAGCTCTGGTGGTCATGTCCCAGGCTTGGTATAGATACTGAGCCCCTTATTCCCTCTCAAGGCCCTCTGGCTACCCCAATGTCCCTGCCTGTCTGCCTTCATATCCCACTTATAGGAAGCCTGGAGAGAGAGAGAGAGAGAGAGAGAGAGAGAGAGAACGTGCTATGTTCATGTCTTCTGAGGTGCCAATATTATATAATCCTGCTAACACTGACACAGGCATCTGGCTGTTACATGGCTCTTTTTGTATCCCTGATGGGATTAAATGGGGGCGGGCTCCATAAGCTAACCATCCCCCGACCCCATTTGCAGTACTGCTGCAAAATGGAGTAACTCCGCAGACAGGCAGAGATCAGACCACACTGTCAATAAAGGACAGACAGCGCAGGACACTTGTGCTTGAGCATGGGTAATAGAGACGGCTGGGCTTAGTTTGGGGATTCACCATTCACTTCATACTAATAATGCACTTCTCTTTTCTTAAAAAGCTCACCAAGTTTAGAAGAGGGAAATGTGTAAGGGAACACCGAGCACATTGTGCAAATGAGTGTAGAGCAAAAGGTACAAGAGAAAACAAAATGGTTCAACTCTTTCTTATCCTAACTCTCCTGCTTCTGTTACAGTTTCCTTCCAGACTGGCAAAGATTCAGGCAGGGTCCCCTAATGGTAAAATTTAGATTAAAAAAATATTTATTGATGTTTCTTTTAAAAATGTTTGGTAATTCCAACTAATCATCCAAAATGTAAACTGTAAACACAACAGTGAGGGAGTGAACTGAGTGTGAGCAGCAGACGACTGGGAACAGACTGAGCCAGAGCGCGGCAGAGAGTGAGGAAAATGGGAGGTGGGTGCACAGTGGCAGAGTGACAAACTGAGCAGATAAGAAAAAGCAATCATATTTGGACCTCAGCAATTTCAATATAGCTGCTAAGGAAACCTCTGGGCCAAATATTAAAACATCAGATGAATGGACGAGCCTTCTTTGTGAGCATGCTCAGCACATTGTCATGGAAACAAGGAAGCACAAAAGTTGTGTAAGTATCTCCCAATGGATGGATACTATTTCTAGGATGCAAAAGAAATTTTCTTTCTGGTCCCTGGATACATCATATTTTTCTCCATGCTACCTTTCACCCTGGAAGATTGCAGTTACTGTTTCAAAATCCCCACAGAAACCCCTTAATAAAATAAAGAAACCACAGTAGCAGTAACACTGGGTTTTGCTGGAATGTCCCCTCCCTCTATCTATCATGGCCTAAGATTTCTTCTGGGCATGTCCAACAGGAATGGTTAAGTTTTACCAATCCACTTGTTACAGCCAGTGTGAACTTCAGTGCCATGGTCACAGGACTGCAGCGGATGGGGGTGAGGGCGTGTCCCTGTGTATGTGTGGCTCTGGGGATCTGGATGCTGCCCTCGCTTCCACTGGAGAGACTCCATGGTAAGTCTAGAAGTGTCATTAAATACTCAGTCACCAAGGTTGGCCACCTCCATTGTCATAGGATGATGCAGCACCTGCAGAAACGCTGTCTGCTGCCCCCTACTGACGGGGGTGGAGTGACGGGTGCGAAGTAGGCGTGGACTTTAATATTGGGCAAATGGGTCTGAAACAAGACAGAAACATTACTAAGAGAGAGCTTAGAAGGAGCAGTGCTGTTTCTCACAGAAGCCAAGTGGCTGAAGGATGGCAGAGCAGGACTTGCCAAGCACCACGTAGGATGTGAGGAGGCTGGGCCTAATTTTTCATCCTGACCCAAAGGGATTCACAGTTAGAATCCCATAGCTGGAAGAGGCTAGACAAATTTAAAATAATTACTTTTTGAATTAAAGCATGTTTCTGTTCTTTACTATGTCTGAATACTTACTAGGTTTAAGATGGCATGATCCATATTAGGGGAGAGGGCACAAAGATGGGGATCACATCCTTCAAGCTCTAATCATCTCTAGACACATCCCTCAGCTTAGTAAACAGGAAAATTGCTATGTGACTTGAACAAATGAATCTCCTGAAGAATCAAGAGTGGGAGAGGCCTAGGCACCATACACAGTATGCCCTAGCAGAGCTCTAAGCCAGGATTAGGGTGCACACCTGTAATCTCAGCATTCAAAAGGAGACAGGAAAATTATGAGTTCAAGGTCATCTACTACACACTGAATTCAAAGTCAGCCTGGACTACATGATACCATCTCAAACCCTGTTCCAGTTAGCTTGTGACCATCTTACCCTGCTGGTGCAAGTTTTCCACTATTCTAGGAACTCTTTTTCTCTTGAGAGAGGAGCAGTCACTGTAGTGCTTTTCCTTTGCCCACCTCGCCCTGTATATGCTAGGCAAGCTCTCTACTCCCAAACTCACAGAACGGCACTGCACTAGGGACTCTCCGCTTGGCCCTCTGATTACCAGGGTCCAAGCCTTGCCCTGACAGATATTTTCTGTGTCATTCCTCTTTCCTTCAGGACCAAATTCTGGCTTGTTAAGTCTTTCCTCCCTTGCTAAATAAATATCCAAGTAAATTAAAACCAAGAAATCATGAGACTCTAAATATGAAAAAAGGCAAGAGAAGGAGAGATGAGGGAAGGGTGGGGCTGGGGAGTGGTGCAGCTTTACCCTGAGTCTCTTGATTCCAGCCCTAGTGATTTGCTGGCAGTCATAGAGTTCTATGCGTTCAAGGCTATGACAGCTCTTCAAGTGTTCCAGGGATGCGTCGGTGATCAGCGGGCAGTTGTCCAGCTCTATCACCTCCAGCTGGTCATGGGCGCAGGCCCCGTTTCCTAGATGACGGATCCCATCATCTGTGATCAGCTCACAGTGAGAAAGACTCTGCAACCAGAGAGCAAAGACAACCAGGTATCTCCGGGCACTCCGCCCGCCACTCACAACACCAAATTCCAACACAGACTCTTCTGGTTGAGCCTGGTGACTACAAAGCAATCCAGAGCCATTCGTGGTGAAACAAGAGTTATGGCTTTTGATTTCCCCATGTATGACTGACTCCCCACCCCTGCATAATACTAAAATTACCCGCCCCCATCAGGTATGGTGGCACATTCCCCTTAATTCCAGCAGAGGCAGGAGGATCTCTGTGAGTTCAAGACTACATAGCAAGTTCCAGGATAACCAGGGCTACACAGCTACACAGTGAGACAAAAAGTCCGCTCCCCAAGTTAACATTTTTCTTATCTGTAGGGCAAGACAGGGCTCAAACTTTTCATATTAACATTTCAGTAAATCAGAACTAAATACTGTATATCTCATTCAGGGGCACATTAACAACTAGCTGAAGATGACTTTTACAGCCATCAGGTGCTAGTATCACACATAATCTGACCAATTTGCCTTAAATTCTAATTCGGAAAACTCAGGGCAGCCGACCCAATTTTGGATATTACTGGCTCAAACATACAAAGTAAGATAGCCTGTGTTCTGCATTCTGTTCTGGATACAGAACATCAACCAAAATGCCTCCTATAGGTTTACCCAAAGCATGAGCCACAGAGGGCTTTGTTCTGGAAAACAATGGTCAATTCTGTTCTGTTTTGTTCTTTCTTTTTTCTTTCTTTCTTTTTTTTTTCTGTTTTGCTTTTTCAAGACAGGTTTCTTTGTGTAGCTTTGGCTGTTCTGGAACTCACTATGTAGACCAGGCTGCCCTCAAACCTACAGAGGTCGCCCTGCCTCTGCCTCCTGAGTACTGGGATTAAAGGTGTGTGCCACCACCACCTGGCCATTAAACAGTGAGATGGCTCTCAGTAAAAGAACTTGTCTCCAAGCCTTGTGATCTGATTTTGATCCCTGGAACCCAAGTATAGGAGGCAGAAGGGAATATGTGCACACACAAAATAATAGATTCAAGAGATCCTGAGTTCAATTCCTAGCACCCACATGGTGGCTTGCAACCATCCATAACCCCAGTTCCGGGATCTAACAGGAACAAATGTAAGCAATGCATCACATGTATATAGGCAAAATACCCATATACATAATGTGAAGTAACTAAATCTATTTTTTGAATAAATAAATTTAAATACAAAACAGTTAAAGTCAAACTCACCAACACTTGAAGCCGAGGACAGTGTATAGAGAGCTGGATCAATGTGCTGTCTGTGATCTAGAAACAAGTGAGTTTGTTGTGGGCAAAGTTCTATCTGCTTAGACACAATTATACACAGCTCTACACAGTCTATCTGCTTAGACACAATTCATGAATATGCTTTACACAGCTATACTTCTAGTCAGGGTCATTTAATAACACATGCTCAGGCTTTATTTATGTCCCACATTCCACAAGACCTGGCAAGAGAATGCACAAACACACCCAGACCTTCTGATTCTCTATCTTTACTCAAAATTCTATCTTTAAGAATTATAGGTACATTTTTCTATTTATTTGCTTCTCAAACATTTTCTTTAACATACAGTGATCAGGTGCCTCTGGAGGGCTGACCCACTGGCTAAGAGTGCTACTTTATCCTAAGAACAGGAGGTTAGATGGACACTTAAGTTAGGCCACACACATAGGAATCTAATATGCCCCCTTCTGGCCTCTGTGGGTGAGATGCACAGGCACCCAACTCACACAGGCCCACACACACTACAGACATCAAACTCTGAAGGTGTTTGATGCTATTATGGGGCTGGCCTCAGACAGTTTCTTGCTTTTGAAAAAAACATCTCTCCAAGATTTGCCTACATCACCAGGACTCGAAGAACCTTTTCTGGGTTTTAAACCTTCATTGATAAAATTCTGTTTTTTTTTTTTTTTTTTGTTTTTTTTTTTTTTTAAATCAGTGCTATATTTTAATTAAATCAGCCATCTCTCCATTTCCACTGAGTATTTTAAACTAAATCAAAATCTGTCCTCTTAGAACTTTTGTCCAGCCGGGCGTTGGTGGTGCACACCTTTAATCCCAGCACATAAGAGTCCAGCCTGGCGGTTCTGTGAGTTTGAGGCCAGCCTGGTCTAAAGAGCTAGTTCCAGGACAGACTCCAAAGCAATACAGAGAAACCCTGTCTCAAAAAACAAAACAAAACAAAAAAACAAAAAAAGATCTTCTGTCCATTAGACTTTCTGATGTCCTTTCTTTGGTCAGTAGAGGGGAAAAATTAAAGTCATAGCACCCTTAAAATTTTAGATAGCTTTCCCCCTGCCCACCTCCTTAAGGCAATTATCACACAGAACAAAAGGAGTAATTTCCTTCGGGAACCCCTAGGACTACACACAGATTGATAGAGGCTCTGAGAACTGGTAGGTGCAGAGGGACTAACACTAGTGACCACACAGAGGGCACTGAGGCATGAGCAAGAGGTATTAATACACTAATAAACAGGAGTGTCTGGTCAATGACCCACAAACAGCACCCTGGTGGGCCTGGAAGATACCTGAGGAAGAGGAGAATCAGTGACATTGTCAAGCACTTCTGAGTCCTACATAAGGGGAGTTTTAGGTATTCTGCAGTACACATGACAGTTCTATCACAATGTACCTGTGAACAAACCATATGCTTACCTGAACACATTCTTCTAGGTCCATCTTTTCAAGCTCATGGCAGTTCTACAAAGTATAATGCCATATAATTCAGTATAAACTTTTAAAACATTAGCAAACTACAACCCCTCCCAAAAAAAACCAGACTGTACTAAATATACTGATCAAATCTTGATGTTTCAGAGTAGCTGTCAGTCTAGTGCTACTTTCTATGACTTTTTTAAAGACTGATTTATTTATTATGAGTAAATAAGTACTTGTAGGCAAGTATGCCTACAGGCCAGAAGAGGGCACCAGATCTCAACAGACGGTTGTGAGCCACCATGTGGTTGCTGGGAATTGAACTCAGAACCTCTGGAAGAGTGGCCAGTGCTCCATCTTTTTTGAAATAGGGTTTTGCTTTGTGGCCCAGGCTGTCCTCAAATCCATGATTGATGCACCTCTGTGGTGATAAATTATTTATAATTTACTAAAGCTTGCCTGAGGATTCAGAAAGCAAAGTCAGCTTCAAACTATACAAATCAGGCAGTGGTGGTACATACATTAAATCCTAGGACTCAGGGTTAAGAGGTAGATGGATCTCTGAGTACACGGCCACCCAGATCTACATAAGACTGATCCAGTGCTAAACAGAAAACAGCTCACACAAAGATGATCTCAGCTTCCCAAGGGCTGTGACTAATTATAAATGTGCATCATCATCCCTGAATAAATTTAATAAATCTCAAATAAATCTTAAAAGGCTTTGACCACAGTAAAATATCAATTATTTCACACTTTAACACTGAACAGTTTATAAGCCAAATAAATAATTTTTTTTAAAAAAATGAATACACAGTTAACAGAGGTGGTTTTTTCAAGGCAGGGTCTCTCTGTGTAACAGCTCTGGTATCCTGGCTAGCCTCCCAAGTGCTGAAATTTAAGGAATTCACTACTACGCTTGGACAATGAGATCTCTTATAACTAAAAAATAACTTAATAAAAAGTTATTTCTTTGAAAGAGAGGATATTTTATTTCCTCTTTTAGCCAGGTACGCTGGTTTTCACCTCATCAGTAAAAATTATATTCCCCATTCTTTTTTTTAACTTTGTTTACTTTTTATGTTTTGCCTGCATATGTCTGTATGATAGTGTAGGATCCCCTGATTCTGCCATGTAGGTGCTGGGGATTGAACCTGGGACCTGTGGCAAAGCAGTCAGTGCTCTTAACCCCTAAGCCATCTCCCTAGCCCCCCCTACCTTATTCTTTAATACTGACTGAAGTCAGCATAATTTAAAATGTTATTGAGTCAAGCAGACCTGAGTTCAAGGCTAGCCTGGTCTACAGAGTTCCAGGACAGCCAGAACTTCACTGTCTCAACAACAACAAAAGAAACAAAGAAAACATTACAACAAAAAGGAATATGGTGTTATTCTACAGTGATTTATATAAACCACTGTAAGGATTAAAATCCCCTGGAAACATATAAATATTTCTAGTGACTGGTTATTATTAATCATGCCTGTATCAATCACACACCAAATGAAGACTTCCCATGGAGTACTGGAAGCCTCTGCTTAATTTAATTCACAATCTCAATGAAACCATGGTGAATCCAAGTCTCATCAAGGAGCACAGGTTCTCAAACAAGTCTGTACTTCAAGAGCTGGCTGCCTTTTCTGTGGGCATCAGGTTTATAGCTCTTGAATAAGAAGGCTCAGACAACCATAGAGGAAGTCCTCCTGTCTCACATCTATTTCTGCTGCCATGCCAAGTTTCTCATTTTGCTGCCTCCTCTGAAATACAAATCCCCAAGATAACCTATAAAAGTCAACTACAGAACCTAGAGAAAAACTTACCCTGGCCAGAGTCGTGAAGCCCACATCTGTTAACTGAGAACATCTGGCCACTTCTAATATTCTATTAAAAGAACAAAGTGAAAAGAAAGTTAGGTCTTGGTTCATGAAACCTGATTTTACTACATCAGTAAGAATTTAAGAAAGCAATCTTCATTTTCTAACAGTTTATAACATCTGTACATAGATCTTACTATTGGTTTTCATGTATCAGGGTGATGTATTCAAAGAATGCAGGGGAATGTTAATTGAAGCTTGTAGTTAATGACAAACTGCATTATAAAAGCCTTCTTGATGGCACACTGCTTACCCACAGAGGGCAGCCTGCTCCTAGAATCAAAGGCAATGGAGATAAATACTCTATTTTCAGTTCATCTGTTGCTGAAGTAAATATTTTTCTTCATGTAGGTCTCTGTAGATTTCAATAGCTTTAAAATTCTGACAAGAGAAGAGGTCTCCCTGTCTCCTCCCACAGGTCTCTAGGGTGTGCAGAAGGAAGTCAGGATGGCAGCCACTCTCCTATTCAGCAACTGCTAACCACTGACCTCATACCACCCGCAGGGCTGGGAGATCAAAAGCTGTTCTTCTCTGTGTAGTCTGGTAACAGCTGTGCTATAGGATGGCACCAAAGACCATGTTTCCTTAAAACCCTTACAATCCAAGCCAAAAGGTGAAGTCAAAGCACACGTCATTAGCAAATAAAAAGAATGAATGCTGTAGGAACGTGGCCATAGCTGAGCCTTGGCATGCTCACAAAGTAAGGGGCATACAGGAAGGTAGAGCTGAAGAGAAAACTAACCCACAGACTCCTTCAAGGTCTGCTTCTTCCTCAGCCCCTGAGAAGAACGCTCTGAGAAGACTGAGGCTGAGGTTCTGTAATCTAGGCAGAACCCTCTGTGCTTTCAGTTATTGTAGTTAAGGCCATCACTAGGCAATCATCAAAAGTCTTTAGATTTGCTTTGTAATTGTTACTACATGTTAGACAATGCCTTTGTGGTTTCTGGCCCAGAGGGCCTGTCCTGGAGTCCCTGCTCTTACACTTACTGGCTGTGGACTTTCACAGGTCACTTCAGCCCTGGACTCTGGCTTTTTTTTTTTTTTTTTCTCCTTTCTTTTCTCTTCCAGGATATGAAGATAGAAATGGTGCTTATGTTAAAAATCAGTATTTATAAAGCATCTAAACAATCCCTAACTACTGCTGTAAGTCACTGGGGACATCCACACTCAGTACAAAGCATCCTAATAGAAAATGCCGGGCAAACATCCAGACACTCCCATATTCAAGCAGAGAAGACCTTCACAATAACATAGCTGTTCTAACCGATGATCAACATGGTCAGGCATGGTCAAGGTGCACACCTTCAGTCGCAGCACTCAGGAGGCAGAGGCAGCTAGACCTCTGAGTTCAAAGTCAGCCTGGTCTACACAGTGAGTTCCAGAACAACTAGGACTACATAATAGAGGCCCTTCCAAAAATTAAATAAATAAAGGGGACTATGGATTACAACATAAATAGCCTCAGGATGGGCTTTTAAAAATGGAGAAAAGAATCTCTGTAAGTTGAGGCCAGCCTGGTCTATGACAGCCAGGACAACACAGAGAAACACTGCCTCATAAAACAAAAAGTGGAGAAAGGAATTTTAAGGAAGTACAAATCTTTTCTACTATGATCAGGAAGATTGATTCTTGACTGATGCCAGTGATAGTTAGCTAGAAGGGTAGGGACACTGCAGTGAGCTTATAAATTGCAAAATTCCAAGGGAAAAACATGGATGAAAGTGATTTCTTCATCCCATGATTTTTTTTTAAGCTAAATAAACAGTGTTTACCTAAGCCGAGGGCAGTTCTGACCTAGAGCGTTCAGGATGGCATCTGTGATATTGGAGCACCCAGAGGCACAGAGGGACTGCAACTTATGACACCCTCTGCATATGGTGATGAGACCTTCATCTGTGATTTGCTAAAACAGAAGGGAGAAAAAGATCAATAGACATTATTTACAACTAAAAAAGCAGAAGTAGCAACACAGAGAGGAGTCCAGGCGGCCTGGACATCCACCAGATACCCCAGAAGAGATTCAACAGTCTCCTCCTAGATGCTACTGAGGGCAGCTGTGTTTACTCTGTCTGAAGGGGAGGAATTAAGACTCCTTTTAACCAAATGGTGCTGGAAACAGCTTGGGGCATGTCATGGTGAGGGCTCAATTAAAAAGCTACAAAACCTAGAAAACAGTTAAGTCTCCCCCCCCCCCCTTGGAGACTCACAGAGATCCTCTGCCTCTAGAATGCTGAAAATAATGGTGTAGGCCACTATGCAGTCTTTTAAGACTGTGAACAAATTAACAAGTACAGTTGAAAATTATTAATGTAAAAGTAAATTGTGGCTGGCTAAATCTTACCACAGCATCTATTTATTTTGTAGAACAAATAGTATAATTAATATAACTAAATAGATGTTTAGTTGCTATTTTAATATAAGTTTAGATATAAGTTGCTATTTTAAATTACTTTGAATTGAAATAACACTTTGAAATTTCATAATTAAGTAAAATGTTGGGAGTATGGGTAATCACTGATAACCCTAACACTGGAAAGACGGAGGCAGGAGATAAATAAGTTCAAGACCCTCCTGGGCTACATATTCCGACTATGTTGAAATAAAAAATAAAAAGGGGAGAATACATAAATATTTGTCCGAGTCTCAGTATGAAACTCAGGCTTGCTTTGAATTCATGGTGATTCTCCTGTTTCAGGCTTTTAAATGCTGGCATCATGGATGTGAGTCATTCTGCCTGTTTTTCCTTTCACTATGTAGCCTAGTCAGGTCTACATAACCCATGCTGGCCTTCAACTCATAATCCTCTTGCCCAATCTGCTCAGTGCTGGGGTTTTGGTCCAGGGATTATGGGTATATGTCACTATGCCTGTAAGCTTCTATTTTTGATGCAATATTTGTAATTATGTTACTAGGAGGACCTGAAACATTATGGGAAGGGATGCATTATGGGAAGGGATGCTTACTAAGCAAGTTTGCAAGTTCAAAGTCACCAGCTCAGGGCAGTGTGCTCCTATGTACTTGAGAGCTTCATCTTCTAGCTGAAAAGATTAAAAAACAAGAGACTACTGACATTGTTTCAAAGGAGAAAAAGACTATACACATTCACCAATACATTCTCAAAATAGCTAAACAAGTTGCAAAGGAACACTGAACCACAAAAAAAAAAAAAACAAAACAAAACAAAACAAAAAAAAAAAAAAAAAAAAACCACACAAACAGAACAAAAACCATGATAACATGATCAAGTTTTATTTCTAGTAGTAATAGTTACCAGGATTTTTAGAAGTCAGTTCTTGCCATACCAAAATCTTATTAAAAAGGTTAAGGTTAGGATTCTCTTTTGTGAAAGGGTCTAATTATGTAGTCCTGGCTATTAGGGACCTCCCTATGTAGAACAGGTCGGCCTTGATCTGTATTCCTATATCTGCCTCACAAGTGCTGGAATTACAACCTTAGTCATCATGTCTGGATATTTATTTTATTTGTAACAAATTAAACATTCATGATAAGTTGGGGGAGAATTACAAAGGCAAAACAATTTCATACTTCTAAAACCCATGTGGAATTTTTGTTGTCTTTTTAAGCAAGCTTTTGGGAGAAGGAGCTAAGAACAGAATTCCCAGTGTGTATCTGCTATTGAGGAGCAGAGGCAAACTCACAGATGGAAGGTACTGATCATAGTGATGCATTCCAATCAATATTTTTCAGGATTCCACAAATAACCAGAAGCTCAATCTGTTGTTTTAAGGCAATCATATATCCAAAGTTCTGTTTCAGGCAAAGGAATTCTTCCCATTATGGTAATAAAACAGTGAGGGTATTTTTGCTTGTTTGTTTTTGTTTTTGAGACAGGGTTTCTCTGTTGCTTTGGAGCCTGTCCCTGAACTCACTCTGTAAACAAGGCTGGCCCCAAACTCAGAGAGATCTGCCTGCCTCTGCTTCCTGAGCCCTTGCTCCCCCTCCCCCAGCCCACCATCAGTGAGGGCATTTTTAATGGAATCCATGGCATAGCTTTAGCAATCCCTGATGAAATGTCAGACATATCTCTGTAAATATTTCTTTCTAATGCTACCTGATAAGGTTTTTTTTTTAACCCAAGAAACTATTTTTATTATTACTTTGTTTTTTATTTGCCTTATGGCATAGCCTAGGCTGGCTTTGAACTCACAAACATCCCCCCATCTCAGCTTTCCAAATGCTAGGATTACAGGGAGGTGCCACCTTTTTTTAATGAAAAGAAGTGTTATACTTGTGACATTAAATGCAGTTGTTATATACCTGGCACATATATGAACAATTCCTGCTGGTTATACAAGTATATATTGCCAAGACTGCCTTAAGGAAGGAACTACCGTACAGGTAAAGGGCACTACATGAGTGTCTTTCCACCTGATTCCTTCCCCCCCAATTACACGTTGGTCAGATGTTAATTCTTCCCATTCTTCAATTCTGGGAGAAATACTTGATTTCACAGTCACTAGCACCCACAATCCCCACTTTCCTCAGGACACACATGTCAGGGCTCCTCCAAAGAGCTCACAGTCCCTCACTGTCACAAGCACTCCATGGGTATTACCTGTGTGCAGCCTTTTAGGAATAAGGCCTTCAGGCCCCCACAGCCTCTCACTAGTGCTTGAATGCCATCCTTGGTTACTTGGTCACACCAGGAAATGTTCAACTGCTCCAACAGTGGACACCCCTCACTTAGGATAAAACAGAATGAGACAAGCATGTCACTACCTCCAGTCCCAAAGCCACAGGTCTCATGTTTGTGGTTGGTGTTTACCAGGCACTGCATCACTAGGCAGGGGACTTTAAATCCAGTTTATCAACAAGCACAAAGCACACATTTGTGTTCTAGTTACAGAATGTAAATGGAAACTAAATGATGGTTTAGATTCAAGCTTAGATTTTCCAAGGAATTTTACTAATATCAAAATTCTAGTAAACATTAAAAAAAATTACAGAGGCTCTATATATTTCCTTATCTGCTTTTTCAGGCTGAAGTAAGGCTAGATCGCCTAGGTCACATTCAACCTTTACAGTACACTAGCCTCTCCTCTGATTCTCCCTGCTCTCATCAGTCTAGTCCTAGTCAAGGGTGTCAAGCTGTCTATCACTGCAGACACTGCTTGGATGGTTTTAAGTACCCTGCTTATATAGCAAAGTCCTTAAATAAAACCAGAACATCTAGCTTCATTTTAAGACTCATCTTCAACGTAAATAATCTGACTCCAGCCAAGTCACTTTAAGAAGTTTGTCTGAACCTCTAGTGCAGGATTAGCCACAACATGCTTCAGCAGTACCTGGAACCTTACAACCTTTCAAAATCTGTAAATGCATGTCTTATCTAATGCATAATATAAATGAGATCATTTCAGTGAAAAGTATCTTATAAATGTTGTGTCCCATATTTATGGCCTTATATGGCAAGCAGTTTTAGATACACTGTATATTCACAAGTTAGGTTATCACACATCAGTTAACAGTTATATTCTAATTCTTTCTCTTTCTGAGATAGGCTCTTGCTATGTAGCCCAGCTGGGCTGGAACATGCAATGCTTTTCTTGCCTCACCTCTCCACCTCTTTAATACTGGGATTATAGGTAGGACGCACCACGATATAGAGTGTGGCTAAATTTTTTTTTTTTTTTTTTTTTTTTTTTTGGGCTTTTTCTACATGGAGTTTCTCTGTGTAGCCTTGGCTGTCCTGAAACTTGCTCTGTAGACCAGGTTGGCCTCAAACTCACAGATCTGCCTGCCTTTGCCTCCCAAGTGCTAGGTTTAAAGGTTTTGGTTTAATGTGTATAAACAGAATCAACACATAGTACCCTCATTACTTAGGAAAGTCTAGTTAAAAAATAAAGTACATTTTATTTGGGAACTGAAGGCAGGAGTTTCAGAAGTTGAAGGTTATCTGTAGCTATACAGCAAGTTCAGGCTAGCAATAGTCTAAATTTTTTTTTTTTTTCAAAGTCAAGTCTGGTAGTACTCTGTAATCCCAGCTACCTGAGAGGCTGAGGCAGGAGGATCATAAATTCAAAGCCTTCCTGAACTATATGGAGTGAATTCAAGGCCAGCCTGGTCTACACAGTAAGACACTATCTAAAAACTAAAAAGACAAAACCAAACAAAGGAATCCCAGAGACCTCTGGAGGCAGAGTCAGGTTTACCTCTGAGTTCAAGGCCAGCTTGTTCTACATAATGAGTTCCAGGGGTACACAGTGAGACCCTGTTTTAAATCAAACAAACAGAAAACCACAACAGATAAAAATGAAAAACGAAGGAAAAGGGAGACTGGGCATTCCATAAATACTGCTTGTCTTCCCTAATCTGTCTCTCTGTCTCACTATGGAGTCCAAACTGGCCTTGAACTAATGATCCTCTTGCCCTAGTCTTCCCAGTGCTGGGGTTACTGGTATGAACAATCTCCAGCTTTACACATGCCAGGCAGCTTTTCAAGCACTTTATATGTGTTGGATGGAATCACATGAAGGTCTTCAACCCCAAACTATTGAATAAAGGCACAACTGTCTATAGTGCAGGCTGGTAGTATCTCATGTAATCCTAATAAGATTACAAGGAAAAGCTCGTCTGGGTCACATTCAGCCAAAGCTGCCAGAGGACGACCTGGCTCCAGACTCCAAGGCAATGACACATGCCACTTTCATTTCTTTTTAAAAAAGCAATCCTCCATGAATATCTACTCATTAATGGGCAACTCATAACTGCTCTATTCAAACTTCCTAGTAATCTCTAGATACTTCATATTAATGTACCCTGTGATGTGAGTGAGCACCCATAAAACAATGCTGTCTTCAGTTCCAACTGTCAGCTATTATAAGCTATCAGTATTATAAGAAATTTACCTCAGAGCTTTGAGAGACATGTTTGTTATTGATGTACAGGAAGCCAAGTCGAGGTGCCTGAGTTTGGAGCAGAACTTGCTAAGGCTAGTACAGGTACTGCAAGAAAAAGAAGATAATGAACACACATTTAAAATAAGAACACATATATGGACACCATGGGAGATGGCACAGTGGGTGAAGTCCTCTGGTCCCATGGTGGAAGGCCCTCCCAAAAGCTGTATGTACGCACGCACACATGTCCAACAACTTAAATGTTTGCTGTATCATACACCTTCATGTGTACACGAGACCTGTAACATTTTCATGGTATCCCCAAGGAGCCCTAAACACTAGGTTTTACCATAGGAAAAGGCAAAGGAAAGCTATGCTGGGTATGATTTGCACAAGATGATGGTGCTGCGTTTACATTTGGAAATAGAGCATGGAGGTTGACATTTGCTGTATAAAACCCAAAACTCCAGAAAGCCAGCATCTGCTTTCACTCAATTTTCCACAGAAAAACTTTCTGTTGCAATCAAAGAAATGGACTTTCGCAAGGTATACAGAAAGATTGGTACAGGGCTACACAAAGTACACTGTACCATCCAGTATTTTATGCTTATATGTGTGTGGTGCTAGGGGTGAACCCCTGCATCTTACACATGTTAAACAAGCCCTCCACTATTGGGACATTCCCAACATGCTATATGATTACATTTAATTTTAAGATTTTTACTTATTGTATATATATATATATATATATATATATATATATATATATGATGCATGTGTGTCCTCAAACCCTCCTTTTCTCCTAGTCCCACCTATCTTGCTTTCCTATTGGCCAATGGGGCTTTATTCATTAACCAATAAGAAAAAACATATTTACAGAATGACATCTCCCCATCACATGTGCGACTGTACATGTTTCAAAGCATACCCTACAACCCTTGAGAGGTCAGAGGACAACTGAGTTATTTTTCTGCTTCTACCATGGTTTCTGAGGATTAAACACCAATCATCAGGCTTGCACAGCCATGATGGGCCCTTGAATTTTGTAAGAATATATAAGCTCATGACTGGAGAAATGAATCAATCAGCAGTTAAAAGGATTGGTTGCTCTTCTAAAGGACCTGGGTTCAGTGTGGCTCACGAACATCTGTAACTCCAATTCCAGGGGATCAAATGCCCTATTCTGACCTCCACAGGTACCAGTATATTCAATGTGGGGCAAGATATCATATATATATATATATATATATATATATATATATATATATATATATATATATATATATATATATGCTTGTGATTTTGTCTTCATAATAAAACTGGATCAAATGCCTGCATCTTTCAGCAGGTGGTTCAACACTGATGCCTCTTAGCACAAGTTTCGGTGTAGTTTTGGTCTTTTTGCTGTTCCCTGACATAATGCTGTTTTCTTTGGGCACAGAGAATCCTTGTCCTGGTACCATGTCACTTTGTGGGGCTGGTGCTTGCCACATTTCTTGGAGAAGTCATGTGAGTTTTAGGAAATTTCACCATGTCTGCAGGTACACTATCAGCACAAAAATAAAGATGAACCAGAAATGGAAACACAGAAAAATTTGAGGCAAGGTCTTACTCTGTAGCCTAGGTTGGCTTTGAACTAACATAATCCTCCTGTCTCAGTCACTGAGTCTTGGCATTACAGGCATGTGTCATAACTTGCTCTTAGACCAACCACCTCAGAAACAAAGCTCTCATCACTGTTACTATTTCCATCCCCACCCCTTTTAAACCTCAGGCTTTGTTTTATTTGTTTGCTTTGCATTTTTGAGACTGTCTCAAACTGGAAATTCAAAGCCCCTGAGTCCACCTCCCTTTGCAGGCATCGCTGCTGTGTCTAGAATGAGACTTAACTGGGTAAGCTAATTTCTCTAAAGGCTTCACTTTTTAGTAGCTTTGTGTATTGTGTGGCCATACAAGTTTAAAAAAAGAAAGTCAGCCAGGTGGTGATGGCACACAACTTCAATCCCACCACTCAGGAGGCAGAGACAGAAGGGATCTGTGAGTCTGCTGCTAGGCTGCTCTATAGTGAGTTTCAGGACAGCCAGGACTAGGACTTTAAAAAAGAAAACCTGCTGAGAATTTGGTGGGAACTGCATGCAATCTATAAACTAATTTGGAGATTCCTGACATCTTGCTGTACAAGTTTTCAGCTTGTTCAGCCTTCACTGCATTTATTTGTAAATACTGATTCCTTTTGAAGTTACATGAGGTTTGCCTGTGTGTGTCTGTCTCCATGAACAGACCTTGGGCAAGTCAACTTTCTTGACACAATATTTCTCACTGGCCAAGAGCTCACCCAGGAAGAGTAGGCTGGCTGGCCAGAGTCTGAGGATCTATCTGTCTCTTCTTCCACAAGTGTATGCCACCACAACTAGCTTTTTAATGAGGGTCCTGGGGAACAGAACTCAGGTGTCAACACTTCTCTGATTGAGCAATCTCTAAGTCCCGTTGGTTCGTTTGTTGCTTGAGACAGCTGGTCTTATGGAGCACAGTTGGCCTCAAACTCACTGTCACCAAGGATGGCCTTGATCTCCTGATCTTGTCTCCAACCTCCTAAGTGCCAAAGTTACAAGCATGTTTCACACTTTTTGACACTTCTTAAATTTCATTGTGTCACTAAGGTATAGTTATTTAGATGTATATTGCTTTATTTTTTAAGTTCTTGGTACTTCCTTAGATTTTCTTCTGTTAAAGACCTCTAGTTAAGCTCTTTAGTTATGGAAGAGAATACTTGTTTATTATTTCAATCTTAACTTACCAAGTTTGTTTAGTCCCCAGACTATGGTCTACTCAGGACCATGTTCTAAGTGTACTAGAAAACACACTCTGCAACCACTGGGTGGAATGCTCTTGTTTGCACAGACAGCATTTTCCATGGGGGACAGTGTCTTACCAGGTAGCACTTCAGGGCTTAGATCTTGCTAAGTAGACCAGGCTGGACTCCAGCTCACACAGATTGGTCAGCTTCTGCCTCTGAGTGCTGGGATTAAAGCATTAACCAAGCCTAGCTACCCACCTTTATATTTTCAGCACATCTGTGTGGAACCTAAAGTGGTTATTTTATTTTTTGTTTTGTATGTGTGTTACTAGAGATTGAGTCCAGGCATTCATACATGCTGATTACTCAAGCAATGAGCTGCACACCAAATTCTCTTTCAAGCTTTTGATACAGGGCCAAAGTAGTCTAACCTGGCCTTAACCTATGGAACCTCTCACCTCTACCACCCAAAGTAGTGTTGCCTGGTCTTAACCTCTGGAAAATCTCATCTCTAACTTCCAAGTGCAGAGCACACCCTCTTTTAACTAATTTAACTACTGCATGGACCCTGTGCTGAGGGAGTCCAGAGATTCCAACTGGGGTCTGTCTCATCCAAACTCTTGGGCTGCTGCTGTTTCTACTCAGCGTTTTCCTTTTTCCCCAGTGTTCTGTCAGGTTAGCACAGCTCCTATGCTATGCTCACAGTTCACATGTGGGCCAGAGAGGGCATTTAAAGTTCAGGCTCTGCCTAAGCTCCACCAACCAGAAATACATGGCTACCTTGTGTCCATTCCGATCTCTGCTACCCATGAACATAGCCTCTGGCCAAATTAGGATGTGGGGTTTAATTTTTTGAGATGTATTTATATTTTGTGTATACCTGAATGTAAGTGCCTTGTGTGCATGCCTAATTGTTCACAGAGGCTATAAGGGTGTGTCAGGTCCCCTGGAACTGGAGTTACTCAAAGTTATAAGCCACAAATGAGGTAAACTGAGTCTGGGTCTGCTGCAATAATGTCTCTCCAGCACAGGGAACATGCTCCCTGAGGCTGCCTCACTCACCGCCTATTACATCCCAAGCCCTGCTCACTCACAGCTTCAAGCTAAAAGAGCCATCCATGTCATCTTAATTGATAAGCTGCAAATCCAGGGAGCCCACCTACTCAAAAAACCCCAAGCCTGTTGGTTTTTATAATCTTCCTTCTTCTGTAAGGATTTGGAGCTTCTCACAGAATTGATGGGCCAGGAGCCCCAGGCAAAAAAATTCACAGACTCTGAGCCAGGGTTTTAGCTCAATGGTAGAGCCTGCCTAATTCAAATAAGGCTTTGGGTTTGATCTTCAGTACCAAAGAGTAAAAAGGCACTGTCTAAGACTCTTTTCTTTCAGGTAATGACAAAATCATAGAGTAGGAGAGGTCAGTGGGTAAGAAGGTCTGCAAGTGTTAACAGCTGAAGCAGGGTGATGGGCCATGGGCCATGGGTTCAACTTCCAGCACAGAACACAAGAAGTCAGTAAAGGAACTTTCTTTCTGAGTTATAGCACCAACATGGGTTATAATTCAACTAGGTTGCTTTTAGTTTCTAGGGACTGCTTTAAGACCTATCCCTCCTCCACCCTGTTCTTTTGTTTGAGACAAGAATCTCATGCAGTTCACACTGGCCTGGAATTCACCATGTACCAGAGGCTGGTCTTGAACTCATGATCCACCTTCTATCTCTCAGACACCAAGCATTGGTTACAGACACAAAGTTTTTCCTATCTTATTTTTGTTTTTGAGACAGGGTTTCACAGGCTGACCTTAAACTAGAGATTCTCCTGCTTCTGCCTCCCAAATCCTGAGATTACAGCCTGTGTCACCACACCCTGATATAGTCAAATACATATATAAACACACCAATAAAAATAATTTTAAGGGGGTTGGAGAGATGGTTCAGAGTTTAGGAACATTGGATGCTCTTTCAGAGGTCCTGAGTTCAATTCCCAATAACCACATTGTGTCTCACAACCATCTGTAATGAGATATGGTGCCCTCTTCTGGTGTGCTGGCAGACATTATGGATAAATTAATCTTAAAAAAAAAAAAAAGTTTCCTGGAAAACCTCAATTGGTTTAGAAACAATACTTATTAAAAGAACTCATTGCTAGGGTGAAGCATGTAGCATTATATCCTTCCATGGAGCTGTATTCTTGGCCCTGCAAATTTTTCTCTCCTGTTTTTGGTGGTGCTAGGAGACCAAACTCAAGGCCTTACAAAACCTAGGCAAGTGTTCTTTTTTTCATATTTTGAGACAAGGGCTCACTGTAGCCTGTCTGGCCTCAAACTTAGACTAGCCCTCTTGCTTTAGTCTCCTATGGGCAGAGATTACAGGCAGAAGCTGCATACCCAGCTCCTCAGCCCATTTCTTACAATAAAAGAAACAATATTATGACCTCAGAGAAGAGGACTAAAAAAAGTAGTTTCAAAGACTCACCTTTTCAGGAAGGCATTCTGAATGGGAACTCTGCATCCAAGTTGGTTCCTATCTGTCAACACACCTTTTCTATGGCTTTCACTGCACAGCATCTTCCCTCTGTTGTACTAAGTGAGGTCTGGTTCACATTACTACCAATGGATACCCTTGGGTTCAAGTTTTTTACTTTTGCATCTCATGTCTGACTGGGAGATTCTCAAAGATGAAGGACTATACTAACTTCTTTTACTTATATTGATTAATCTCTATTTATTCCTTGTGGTTTTTGATAATTAACCCCACACTATATACATCCATGACAGTTTAAGTATCAAAGATGAGTTCAAAGTAAGCTTCCTATTCCACTCCTACTTCCAATTACCTTTAAATCCTTCTTCTAGCTTAGTGGAACCCTGAAAGAAAGGCCCTAGGTTCATCACCAGCATCATAAGCCAAAAACTCATTCATAAAATCAAGAAAACTTATTCAATGTGCTTACTAGCTTACAGTCACAGCTATAGTAGTACAAATTATGGACTACGGTATATTCTCCTGAAACTCAATACTTACGCATCTGTTGTCTTTGTACACCCATTTAGATTCAGTACTTCAATATTTCTACAATTTTGTGCAAAGGTCCTTCATGGGGAAAGAAAAGTTAAAAGTTATAAATAAGCTGGGCAAAATTCTAGATATAAAAAACGCTTTACTGGTTGGCATCTATGAGGCATTAACATGCAAAATACATACTTAGTTTTCATTCCTAGTTTCTAAGATAGAGATCCTAAGACCTTGTAATTTCCTGAGTGACAGGTCAGAGGAGTAGCATTTGCTCTCATATTTTGTCATTATGTCTTTGTAACAAAACCTCCATAAAACCGGTAAACCCAGCACCCATTAGGTTGGTGTGCTGAAGGTGGCGGGACCCGACTCCACAAGGATAGCCGCTCTGGTGCTCCAGTCCTTTCCAAACCCTGCCTGTGTAGCACTTCACTTTATAGCGCACTTTATAGTACCTAAACCGCTTTCCTGAATTATGGGACTCATCCTAGCAAATTAGAAAGTTGGAGAAGAGTCATGGTCACACCTGATTCGTGCACAGTAATGTGGGACTTGCAACTGGCATCTCAAGTAGAGGCCCACTACTGGGACTGAGCTGGCAGCCTGTGGAGTGTGAGCTAACTCTGGATATCAAAGAATTGGCTATTGAGCAGAGGAAAAATAAAACCTTTTTTTTTTTATTTGTTGTGTGAGGTGTGAGTAAGAGTTCAACAGGGCACAAAGTAGTAGCTGGTAGGTGGGAAGAAAACTGCTCTTTAAAGCTGTTGGGTGAATGTTCTCAGAAAGGTCTCACTGCATAACCCTGGCTGACCTTGAACTTGCAATCCCTCTGCCTTAACCTCTTACTTTCTGAGATTAAATGTTGAACTTTGTATCAACTAAAGCTAAATAACATTATCTTTGAGTTAACAAAAAGCTAAAAAAAAAAAAAAAAAAAAAAAAAAAAACTCAACTCACTCAAGGTCCCCAAAGAGCTATTTTAATCTATTTTAACGTGGAGCACTCTTCTATTCTCCTGCTTGCAGCTGTGTGTGTGTGTGTGTGTGTGTGTGTGTGTGTGTGTGTGTGTCTGTCTGTCTGTCTCTCTCTCTCTCCTTCCCAAACACGAAAACCCTGGGACTATTAAGGGTTAGCCTGGGTCCCCACTTCATATTAGATATTTTTGTTATAAGCCATGTAATGCTGCATTTTTAACAGTCAGTAAAATTGAAAAGCTACTTGAGCCTTTTCTGAGTGAGGTGGTGCTGTCTTTACTTCAATCTAAGACATTAAAAGTTGTTTTTTACCTTAATGCATTGTCTCCTACTCCGAGACACCCACGAAGACTCAACTTTCGTAAAAAGCCTCCACATCTTTTTGAGATATTTTCCACTACCCGGCCCTATGAAGAAGCAGTTAAGCATAATGGTGGCTCATGTTACTTCTTTGACAAGAACACATTCTCTTGTAAGAAAATTCTTTCAATGAAAATTTCAAATTATCCTGAGAAAGTATATCTGATTAACCCATCTACTCAAAACACAACATGTCTGTATCTTTCTTTGTTCACTTTGCAGGATAGCCTACATTTGAAACGGCGCTGTCTGGTATTTACAGAGCTCTGTATGCATGAATATGACTTACCTGGATTAAAATACAGATTCACAGATAGGGAAGGATATAAACTTCTATAATTACTTCTGTGTCCTTTAAAAGTACTACAGAACTCTGCATACAGCAGGGACTCAATGAGGAAGTACTACCTTGCAGAATTCTGTGGGTCATGTTTTTTAAGCACATATATCCATGAGATCAGAGAATTGTGGAGTGAATGCAGCACAATGTTAGTGGTTTGTTTGTTGTTGTTGGTTTTATGTTTATGGATTCTGGCTGCATGTATGCCTGAGTACCACATGTATGCAGTGCCTGTGGAGACCAGAAGAGGGTTACAGAAATAAAGGGAAAAAGCCCAAAGGTAAAAGGTAGTCAGGATAAATTAAGATAAAAGCAGGCTCTCAGAGGTTGGTGGCTTACACACCTTTAATCCCAAAGCTCTTTGTGAGTTCGAGGCCAGTCTGGTTTACAGAGTCAGTTCCAGGACAGTCAGGGCTACACAGAAAAATCCCAGCACAGAGAAAAAAAAAAAAAAAAAAAAAAAAAAAAAAGCAGGCAAGAAACAAGCCAAGCTAAGGCTGGGCATTCATATGAAAAACTAAGATTCTGAGAGGGTGATTTATTTGTGAGCTGGGTGGTAGGCCCTCCTTAAGAGTCAGCGCAATGAGCAATAACCAACCAACAACAGTGTTCCTCCAACACAGATGCTGGGGGTCTAAACTCAGGTCCTCACTCCAGTATGGCAAGGACTTTATCAAATGATCATCTCCCACCTTGACCTTAATCATCTCTCTGAACTTAGTTGTCTCTAAGTGCTGAGATTACAGGCATGTACACGCCTGGTTGCTGTTACACTTTTCTATTTAGAGGGAACAGGAAAAGAAAGAACCACGCACACAAGGAAATTACCTTTCATTAGTAAAAACAATTTAATAATTCCAGTTTTATCCATTCTTTATTATCCATAAAAACTATCTCCACTTTTGTTCCCCAAGAAGAAACACAAGTTTAATCCTCCTTACCATTCAATAAACTAATATAAAATAACTTGCTTTACACGAGCAAACACAAAAACTGCAAAACAAAACCTTCTGGTCTCAGTTCAGGACTAAAGTTAATAAAGAACTTAGCATTATTTCAGGGAAATAATTCCATTTATCCTCAAAAATTGAAGGAAATTAGGGGTAGAAACCAAGCCAGTGGGAGGGTGTGGCCTATCATGCATGAGGCCCTAGGTTTGAATCCTAGTATTAGCTTCCCAAACCTGAAGAAACACTTGTTTTTGTTGTTTTGTTTTGAGACACAGTCTCACTGGCTGGTCTCCAACTTACACTGACTTGCCTTACTTTGCTGGTGTCAACACATCTACCTAAGAACCGCGCCCCCCCCCCCCTCAGAAGAGTGGAGGCTTCCATGATGTTTAGCTGTACCAAAAATCAATTCTTCGGTGGGGAAAAAAAAGATTTATATACATGGCTATGATTAATGAGAAATAAATGGGGCCACCAACCACATAATCATACCTCAATATCCCGCTGGAAATCAAACAGGTCAATTCGTTGCCAGTTACTGCCATCCAGAGCTAGGACATTCCAGGCCTATTTTGAGTGAGAAGAGACAGGATGAGCAGAGGTTGAAATGAAAACAGAAACTGACAATAATTAATTCACAATTCAACAAATAACTGACCCAAAACGTCCTCAGCCCCCACCAATGTTATCTTCTCCAATTGCCTGAGCCAGTGGTGGAGGCAGTGGCAAGGAGTCTGGTGCATGATCTCTCTCATTGTGTTTTCCTCAATTACCAATATACTCAGCTATGCTTTAGAATTAATCAATATTCTGTCCAACTTGACACAGCAACAGCTTTATTTTATTGTTTGTCACACTTGGGACCAAATCCAGGGCCTTGTGCAAGCTAGGCAAGCATGCTACCACTGAGCTGCATCCTGAGTTTGTTCTAGGACAGGGGTTACAGTGGCAATTTTAGAACTGCTTAGCAGTTTCGTCAGTAAACTTGAGGCAGTAAGAAAATTTGTTAAGTTTTTCAATATTCAGGGTTGAATAAAAAATAACTTCAGGAGGAGCTAATTTATTTATTGTGGCATATTTGGTATTTTAAAGAGTTTAAAAGTTTTCCCTAATAAATAATAAAAGCCATGAACTGTTCAGAATAATATATGTACAGTCTACTGTGTGTCTGAGGCGAGGTCTCACTATGTAGCCTAGCCCAGAGGTGTCCTCAAACACAAGATACTCAAGTACCAGGATTATAGGTATGAGCCACTACATCCAGTTCTAGAGTATTTATCCATCCTTCAAGACAGGGTTCCTCTCTGTGTAGCTCTGGCTTTTCTGGAACTCACTCTGTAGACCAGGCTGGCCTTGAACTCAGAGATCCATCTTTTTCTGCTTCCCAAGTGCTGGGATTAATAAAGGTGTATGCTACCACCACCCAGCATTAGGATATTGCTTATTACAACAAATTTAAGAAGCAATTTAATGTATATTATACTTACTGCCATTTCTCTGAAAAACAACATTTTTGGTCCCCAGTCTCACTGGGTAGCCCTGGGTGCCCTTGAACTCTTAGAGACCCCTCGGCCTCTGTCTCCCAAATGTCTCCAAAATTTTCAAAACCAAGGTTAACTGTCATATGATCAGTAAGAAACATGTAGGGGCATGACGGTAAGCAAGAAGCTATTCTAAAACTAGGTCAGGCTCTCACGTGGTCAATGTTACTTCTCTTTGTGGCTTCAGATTTTTCCAGTGGTTTTTCTGTTTGTTTGTTTTGTCTTGTTCTTTCTTTTAAATAGCTGGCAATGGAAGTAGCAAATAAAACTCTTAAAAACCATATGTTTAAGAGATTCTTGGACTAAATATATCTCTGATTGTGTGCTAGTCCTTGCCAGGTTCTTCAGGGAGCAGGAAGCATGCAGGACTCAGCCTAAAATTAGGAATGACAGGTTCCTCCCTAGAGTCCACATTAAAAAACAAAACAAAACAAAAAACCTCAATGTGTTGACAGTATTGCTCAGTGGTAGGCCTAACCCAGTACCCAAGCAGTGCAAGCAAGCACAGCACTCAAGCTACAATCCTTAATCGCCAAGAACAGCAGATACCAACGCACCAACAGTCCAGACTTAATGACATCTGGTGTGGTTCCCTCCTTTCCTTAAATAAAGACCACAATTAAAGTTCACTTGTTAGCACCCTGGATCACTCACACAGGGTCACTTTTACAAGAAGTACAGCATAAATCATGACACTGCTGTTGTTTCCAAAATGGCAGATATGCATGGAGAAATGACTTTAAAATTACCATAAAGGGGAAATTACCACAATGAGGTCTTGGTTTTTAGATGCAGTGGCAGAAGGAGCTATTGTGGTGGTTTGAGGAGACACTTATGTCCACCTAACACAGAAGTACTTTATGAGACCTTTTCCTCCTCTCCTGTCATTTTTGGAAGAAAGACTATGTAGAGATAACAAGAATTTGATGCTTAAGAGGCTTTAATACATGCATGACTATGTGCTGGTGTAAAATGAACTATAAAAACAGTAAAATATGATTTTGTTGTAATTTGTTGAGTTAAGCTTAGTTAATTAGCTGAGTCAATGCTTTTGACATAAACTGGCCCTTGTTTATAACATGTAAATGTTAGGAACAGTACATAACGCAGAATTCATCATAGAACCATATGGAACAGAGGGTGTATACTTGGAGTGAAATAATGTCTTCTGTAAAATATACAAATGACAACTAAAGTATCAGCTGTCTACAGAGGCTATCAGCCTTGGAGCCAGGAAAAGGTCCCTCTAATGCCAGCCATCTTACCCTGGAAACCTGAGCACAGCGACACAAGGTAACAACATCCAGGAAAGAAAATATCCTAAGAAGAAAAGAGAAGGAACAAACTTTTATCATCTCTCACTCTGATATTGTCTCATACATTCTTTCTCCTGCCCATCCCCACTATGTTGATCAAGATGACCTTGAACACTCGATCCTCCTGCCATAGCCTCTGAAGTGTTAGGCTTACAGGTGTACAAATACCATAACTAGTTTTTTTAATTAAAAAGTTTTAGTGTACAGAATAGGTTTCATTAAATTTTATGTATCATTGTACACTGCTCACAGTCTCTCTAGTACTCTGTCTCCCCTTCTTGCTAGTCCCCTTTCCATCCCCAAACAGCTGCTTAAAAAAAATCTCATGGATTCACACACATCATACACATCATTCAGAGGCAGTTTCTTTCAAACAAATACAAATATACCGAGAAACTTGCAAAGCAAAACACCTCTGCACAATTGAAAGACAGAGCAGTTAGGGCCAGCCCCTAACCTATCTATAGAAAGTTCAAGGCAGTGGCTCTCATTATGCAATAATTACCAATCTTTAAAACTTTATCTTGTTAAACTGAAACTTTTTATTAGACAATAACCCTCCACTATCTATCTCTCTTTCAGCCCTTGGCTATCATTCCACTTTCTCTCTGGGCAAAGTACTTGCTATTGTGTTATTTGTAAAGTTGAATACTAGTTCATTATATATAAATACTGCATCCTATACATCCATCCACAGGTGCTTATACTGCTTTCTCCAACTGGTTATTATGAACTCTGCTCCTATGTACACAAATACCTGTCTGAGTCCCTGATTTCAATTATTTCGGGTATATACCCATGAGCAGAATTCCTGAACCACTGTTTAGTTTTGCACAAATCTTATTTGTGCAACTACCCCATCTCTCTCTGTTAATATTTATTATTATTATTATTATTTTAAAGCCACAGTAATAGCTATGAAATAAGAATTGGTTGTGATTGGCCTTCAACTCAGGGCACTTCTCCTTCCTTGGCCTCCCAGGTACTTCATTTAAGTCACAATGCCAAGCTTAGGAGTTTTAAGTCCTGTAATCAGAATGTTTGTGGGTTTGGGGGTTGCACTGTGCATCCTTTATGCATTCAGGACTACAGCCCTTCATTCTACACGTAAGTATTTTCTTCCATTTGTAGCATCTTCTAATGTGCTAGTTTTATATTATGATGCCGAACAAGTTATAGTTTTCTTTTGCTTCCTCAGTTTGGGATGTCAGGTACAGCGCTATGAAGCCTTCCTCCTATGTTCTATTCTAAAGTTTTTATAATTTTAACTCTTATGCTTAGGTTTTTTTTTGGGGGGGGAGGGACGTCTATTCGAGGTAGACAGTGGATATGGTATAACTTCATTTTTTATGTATGCTGCTGCGATCGAACACAGGGCCTTGAGCACACTTCCCACAAGTCAACAATGAACTGTATTTATATTCTTTAGTTCAACTTCTTCCTTGTGCATGTCAGAAATAATTTGAAGAAAATATGGGTGTATGTATGTGCTGGGGAGTCTTTCTGACTACCTTTTCCACTGGCCTTTATGTCTCCTTTAAGTATTTTCAGTTCTGATGCCAACATTGCTTTCTTGTTCTTTTGTAGGACAGGGTCTCACTATGTAGCCAGGACTACTCATGAACTCCTAACCCTTCCACTCATTTTTCAGAGTGCTGAATTACAAGTGCGCACTGTGCCAACCAGTTGCAGAAGGTGGTTTGGATGAGTCAGATAGTTGCACAGTGTCAAGAAAAAAGGAAACTAACAATAGCACTGAATTGTTACAAGAAATTTCCCTTATGTAAAAGCTCTGCTGCTGTGCTAATCCACAACCTTCTACACTTTTTTAGACAGGGTCTCAGGTTGATTTTAAACTCACCCTGTATCCCTAGAAGGCTTTGTGATTTTCCACCTCAGCCTTCCAAGTGACTAGGATTTCTGATACATTTTTTATTTGTTCCACATAAGAGACAGATAACTGAGTTAGAAGGACTAGGGTGAGCAAACATAACTAGTGACTGTGTTGCATGCTCAGGGACCTGAGTTTGACCTCTGGAAACACACACACACTTTCCCACTAGCCTCTGAAGGGAGAGGAGGGTAAAGAATAGAAAGTGTGAGCAACAGCAGCAGGCCGACCTCAAATGAGGAGCAACTCTCCTGCCTCTGTGCCGGGATTACAGGTACACACATGGCTTTCTCATGTGTCTGTTGTTTTCATGACACACGGGTCTCATTTTGCAACCCTGGCTGGCCTCCAACTCACAGGGATCAGACTACCTCTGCCATCCAAGGGCTGGGTAGAAAATGTGTGCCTCCATCTCCAGCTCACAAGTTTTGTTTAATTTTCTGAGAATGACTGTTTTATCCAAATGTATGAGCATGTTCAACCTATATGCCTGGTCCCTACAGAAGAAGGCATGATATCCTCTGAACCGAAGTTATGAGTAGCCGGGAGCCACCATGTGGGTGCCTTATCTCTAGCCTGACTCATGTGCTGTGGTTCCTGCATTTTTTAGGTGGAAGGGAGGTTGAGACAGGGCCTTTCCAAGTAGCCATGCCTGTCACAGAACTCTCACTCTGTAGACTTGAGACAGGACAGTCTCTGCCACCACACCCAGCTTTCTTGTGTTATTGAAATGATGATCCTATTGTCACATATCTGGAGAGGCCACAGCAGACATCTGATGCTGTTATCTAGATACTTTCAGCACCATTATTTTAACTATAATGATATTCATTAACTATGTAAGCCCTATTTAGTTTATACCTGGTAGCCTTACCAGTACACTCAATTCTTTAGCATATCATGTGTGCCAGACCCCCTCGCTGCAAAAAGTAACTGGCCATCACAATTTCATAAGTTACTTGGCAGTGCTGTTGCTCAGACCGTTGGTGAGGTGATGTGTAACATGAGGGGAATATGTGGTAGCCCTTCCAGGCACACTCCCAATAACCTAATGTCCTTCTACCAGGGTTCTACCACCTCCCAACAGAGCCAAAGATGAAGGACCAAATCTTCAACACATGGGCCTTTGGAGGAGATTCAAGATCCAAACTATACCAACTTTATTAACTATATTACTATGTGGAATTGTCTAGAGAGTTCTATTGCTCTAAATTAAACCAGAAGGAGCTGAGAGATGTGTTAGGGGTTAAGAGCATTTGTTTTTGCACAGGACCTGGGTTTAACTGCCAGCACCCACAAGGTAGTTCACAACTATCTTTAACTCCAATTCCAGAGTATCCAATGAAGACATCAAACATGCACATGGTGCACACACATAAAGGCAAAACGCATTAAAAAATAATTTTTAAAGAGAGCACTGGTTTGATTCTCAGCACCCACATCGCAACTCACAACCACCTGTAATTCAAGTTCCAGGGAATCCAATGCCCACTTCTGGCCTCTGTAGTCATTGAATACATACATACATGTGGTACACAGAGACAAAACACATGTACACATAGAGTAAAAATGGCATGCTGTAGGAGTGTTAATGACATATCTCATACTGGGTGATCATTTTCTATGCAAAAACCATCACAACTAAGCTCAGTGGTAAGGATGTCAGCCACTGTGAGTGTGCAGAAGTAGGGCATTTTTCCTTTTACACTAAAAGGTTCATTATAATGATTATCAATCACAAAGAACAAAATGAACAGAGACAAAGGCTATCGGAGAAAAAGCAGTGCTCCCTTCCCAGGAGCTCCCTTCTTAGACTGATCGTGTTTGATTATCAGGAAGCTCCTATGATCTTTCTTTCTTGAGGAAATATAAAGGTAGGATGAGCTGCCAGGCGTAGTGTCCCACACCTTTGATCTCAGCACTGGGGAATTAAGTGCATCTCTGAATGTGAGGTCAGGCTCGTCTACATAGTGAGTTCCAGGATGGCCAGAGCTATAGAATGGGATCACGTCTCAAACAAAACAAAAAAGTAGGAGAGTATTACTGAGGTAAAGGCACAGTTATTATAATTCTTATTTTCCAATAAAACATGAGAAATCTGCCCTCTTCTGCAGAGACCAGACATGCACATAGTAAACACACCCATGTAAAAACAACACCTAAATACATAAAATAAGAAATCTGGAGGCAGAGGCGGATGGACTCAAGAAGTTTTTGGTTTTGTGTTTTTGAGACAGGGTTCTGAGACAGGTGTCCCAGCTGTCCTGATACTCACTATGTAGACTAGGCTGGCTTCAAACTCACTGAGATCCAACTGCTTATGCTTCTCAAGTGCTGGACTAAAGGCGTGCACAACCATTTGAGGCCATCCTGAGTTCCAGGCCAGCCAAGGCTACGTAGTGACATATCTCAAAAAACAAAAAAAAACAAACAAACAAAAAAAAAAAAAATCAAACAAGCAAAGGAAGAAGATTTATACTCTATGGCCTCATAAGAAATACATTCAAAGTTTTAATATCTGTTCTAAAACCCATGTAGAAATTTACTGTCAAAGAAAGTCATAGACCTTAAGCCTGGTATGGCAGTTCATCTTAGCACTTATGAGACTAAGTCAGAGCTACATAGTAGAGCCTTCTCAAAACACTGAACAAAAAGTGTATTAAAGCCAGGCAGTGATGGCACACATTGTAGGTGGGGCTACAGAGAGAAACCTTGTCTTGAAAACCCAACCTCAAAAAAAAAAGTGAATGCCCCCTTCTCAGCCTGACTGTTACAGGCTGAAGATAATCACCAGATAGCAGCACCTTGATCTTGGACTTCCCAGTCTCCAAAACGCTTGAGAAACAAACTTCTGGTAATCATCTACTTATCTAGGCCCAGATATTTTGTCATACCAGCACATATGTCTTTGTGCTCTCTGAAACCTATAAAAAGGCTGCTGAGGGAAATTACACTTAGGAGAACCTTAACTGAAGGAAACCCACAGCTCTTTTCTGTGTACTATGTTCTGTGGTAGCATGCTGATTGATTCCCCACCATCCACTTCTAGCTGACTAGTCTGAGTTGGTTACAGTGACTTGTTCAGGATTGGGCCATGATATAAAAAGACTTTTACTAGGGATCAATATTAACTACCTGTGTACACAGATCGAACAAGGAAAGACAGGAATTCAGTATTTGCTGGCAGCCATTATGTTTTACTCATAAGGAAAAGAAGCGTTGCTGCCAGAATAAGGCTGGTTACCACACAACACAGGAGAAATTTACTTAAAACCTTGCTGATCCCTAAACCCATAATAGCCTGGTTTATTTTTGTGATCTCCATATTGTTCAGCAGGAGTTGGAAGTAAATATCTGAACTAGCAGAAGCTAGCATGTTTTAGATGTTAGTGTTGCCTTAACTGCTGCTACAAGGTGTCAGAAAAACTCCCTGGGTACCACTTACTTCCCCAGCCTCAGGAAACTACCAGTCTGAGTTCCGCTTCTATGGACTTGTCTACTCAGGACATTCCCTCTAACAGGAAGAGAGTAATAAGGCCCTTTGTGGTTTTCTTCTTTAAATTACCATTTTATTTCAATACAGGTCAAAGAGCATATCCATATACTTTATTCTTTAAGATAAAGTAAAAGTATGGACATACCACATTGTTTACTCTTCAGTTTATAAACAACTAGGTAATTTGTATATTTTAGCTATTATTAGTAATGCTGCTATAACCATGCCAATTATTTCATTACATTTGTTTGTTTGTTTGTTTGGGGGTAGGTGGGTGGGTGGGAGGACTTCCCAGGGATCAAACCCAGGTTTTCAGGCTTGGTGGCAAATGCCTTCACTCACTGAGCCATTCTACCATTGCAATTATTATTATTTTAACCATAAAAGTAGGAATGCTGATGATACATTTCTAGATTTAGCTTTTTGAGAACTTCCAAGCTGTTTTTTTTTTCCATCGTGGCTATACTAATTTTACATTTCTACCACCAATTTATGAGAGTCTAATTTCTCCTCCTTTCCTACATGCTCATAAAACCAGTTTTTTGATATCTATCTAGACTTATGATAAACTATGTATAGTGGTTTAGCCTATAATTCCAGCACTTGGAAGACAGAGGCAAGAAGGTTGTGCCAGTCTGTGCTAAAGGGTCAGATCTTGTTATCAATAAAACAAAAACAGACCAGCACAGGCCTGTAATTCCAACAATTGGGAGAGTTGTAGAGGAAAAGCCTGCACAGTGTGACCCTTTCTCAAAACCAGCAAAATCCAACCAAAGAAATAAACAAAACCACTCCCTATGATAAAAGATATATAAAAATAATAAAAACAAATGCATTTAAAAATTATAGCATTAGGGTGTGGTGGCGCTTGCCTTTTATCTCAGTACTTGGGAGGCACAGGCAGGTGGATCTGTGTATATTGAAGACAGCTTGGTATATAGTGTATTCCAGGACAACAAGGGCTACAGAAACCCTGTATCAAAAAACAACAAACAAGCAAACAAAAATCATCAAAAGCAAACCACCTCCATTAACCATACCATGAAGACCCACGGACTGGGACTGCAGAGTGCTTGCCTAGAGTGTTTAAAGCCTCAGGTTTCATTCTTAGAACTGAACAAGAAAAGCTAAGGGAGGCAGAAATTTTAATCTTTTTTATTTGTTTGTGCAGTTCTAGCTGGCCTGGAAATTACTATGGGCCAGTACCTGCCTCCAACTGAGGCATGTTTTGAGGTGGAACTATATTTTCTTATCCTACTTATCAGCCCTTCTCCATTCCTTCCTGTCTTTACGGAGATGGTAACAGAAGCAGGAAGTTAAGTGATTTGCTGAACTTACAACATGGTTTATCATCTTTTTGCCTTTAATCTTCCATACAAAAACATTAGTTTTAGAAACCTTTTAATTAAAATCTTTTATTTTATGTGTGTGGTGGAGGGAAGGGGGGCTGCTAGTGTGTGTTTTTATAGAGGTCAGAGAAAAACTCCATTCTCTCTTTCCTCTTTTCATGGGTTCTGGAGATCAGACTCAGGTCATTGGGGTTTTGTAGCAACCTCTGAGCTGTCTTATTATCCAAAAATGAGAAACTTTTAAACAGTTCATTATGAGTATCATGCTTGCCATGCATGCTGATGCATGCCTCTAATCCCAGGCCTCTGGGGACAGAGTTTCAGGGCCAGTCAGTACTACAACCCAGTCTCAAAAAGAAAAAACAGTCTCTCATGCTCTGACTAATGAAGCTGGACACTAATATTCCTCATTATTAAAAAGAAAATGTCCAATCTCAGATTAACTTTTTATCTTAATTTCATGTTTTGACAAAGTATCTTTGGCCCAGGCTGGTCTAAACTTGCTATGTAGCCCAAATAACCTTCAATTCCCAACCCTCCTGCCTCCACCTCCCAGGTGTCACACTCACCAAAGACTGTTTTTGTTGTTGTTTTAGATAAGGTCTCTCTATACAGCCCTGGCTGTCCTGGAACTGCTCTGTAGACCAAGCTGGCCTTCAACTTGGAGCTCTGCCTGCCTCTGCCTGCAGAATGCTGAGATTAAAGGCCTTTAATCTCATGTGTGGCTTGAGACTGATTTCTAATGGTTCCATGTCAATGATGTCTAATAAATATTCTACAATATAAAGTGAATGAAAGCCACCTGTAGCTTGGAGGACAACGGAGACATCTGTGCAGGATTGTGTCTAGGGTACCCCAATACATCATACCACAATCCACATGTGATCATGTCCCTTATATAAGCAGAATGACAAATAAGTTTTTAGGGATTTTATGTCCTTTACCCTGAAGACAAATTATCCCAGGGGAGGGGTATTAAAGACATAAAATCTGAAAGAAAATGCAGGTAACCACAAAAAGTGGAAGGTAAATTCTACCCACCGGTACTGACTTCTGACAAGGTCTCCATTTAAACAGCTAAGGCTAAAGCAAGAGTAATTCGTCCAAGTGCAGCAGTGTTCCTCTGTACCGGGCACAAGGGAAGCACAGGAAGATCTCTTTGAGGCCAGAATCTTGGTAATTGTGATTCTGTCTCAACATTTTAAAAAGGGGCTAGGAGCCATGCCTTTAATCCCATCTGGGAGGCAGAGGCAAGAGGATTTCTGTGAGTTCAAGGTCAGCCTGATCTACAGAGTTTCAAGATAGGTTCCAAAGCAACACAGAGAAACCCTGTATTAGAAAAAACAGAAAAGAATGAAAAAAATTTTTTCTTCCTTCTCAATTATGACACTTTATATAAATGAATATTCTGATCAAATACCCAAGTAGTGCAGAGCTCAGTAAATAACTCTCATAGGTAATTCCTAAGTCAGAATCTCTAAACTGGAGGCTGTGTTTTGTGTCCTGGATAGTGCTACAATGTAGTTTCTACAAGTTAAAAAAAAAAAAAAAAAAAAAAAAGTACTGTAAAATCCTAATCCTAAATATGGTCTAAGGAAGAGAACAACTATGGCTTTCTATTTTTGAAACAAGGGGGTGGTACCTAGTGGTGCATGCCTTTAAGTCCAGCCTTTGAGAGGCAGAAGTAGGGGTATCTCTGACTTCTGGGCCAGCCTGGACTAGACAGTGACACCTTGTCACAAAGGGAAAAAAACTGGCTGGGTGGTGGCAGAGAAAACCTTTAATTCTAATACTAGGGAGGCAAAAGCAGGATCTCTGAGAGAAAGTTCCAGGACAACCAGGGCTACAAAGAGGAACCCTGTCTCTCAAGGAGTGGGGGTGTGGTGGTGGGATATAGTCTGTTCCACAGGAAGGTATATATAGATGCTTTTAAAACAAGGAACAATAGCTCTTCATGGAGTCCCCAGTACAAGTAACATTTTAATACAAACATAAAGGAGTAGGGAAATGATATGGCCTAGAATCTCTCTCTTCAAAGGGCTGAAATTTTTCTACCTATCTTACAATAAGGCAAAGGCAATGTCAAAATACAAAGTCATATGCAGGTCTAATTGAAACACTGTTAACAACTCTTAAAAAATTGTTACAATAAATTTAAAATTCCAGATAATATAGACCAAGCAGGTATAGCCTGTGAGCTTCTGGCCTCATGTATGATCCTGTGAAGGTTATGACTATAGACTAACACATTTTTACATGACAATGTCAAAAGGTTTGTTTCTTCCGACAAACACTGCAAGAAATAACTAGCAACAAATTTATACTTAACATACAAATATGATGTACACCACCAACTGATACAGATTTAAGGCTCAGACTCACCTTAGTAGAAGTTCTTTGGGAAGTTTTTTATTGATTACAGCTTCATCACTGTTTGAGAACATCTGGAAAAAAAATCAAAATACATCACATCAGGAAATAACATTTTATCATGTTCACAGTTGGGAGGCAATTTCCTCAGGAGAAAGCCCCACCCCCCCAAAAGAAAAAGCAATATGCTTTAGGAGGTAAATGCTGCCATGGCTGATGACCTGAGTTCAAACCCTGGGAACCACGGGGAAGAGAGGATAACTGATGACTGACAGCTGCCTTCTTACCTTCCTCACAAATGGGGATCCACAGTCAGACAGAACAGACCACCCAAGGTATGGTGGGACAATACACCAGCTTCTTAAATTACCACAGCCTTATATCCACTCTAGTGCCTACACTAATCTACTAAATTTAGAGACCCCTCCCCTCTAAACCCAGAGTTCCCTCACCTCTAACAGCAGAAGGCCCTCCTCTCCACAGTTCCAGTGTTGGGATTAAAGGTGTGCACCACCACACCCGGATCTTAAAGGTATCTTTCTGTGTTTGTTTGTTTTGTCCTGCATGTGGCTTTGGAGCCTCTCCTGGCACTCTGTAGACCAGGCTGGCCTCAATCGAATTCATGGAGATCTGCCTCTGCCTCTGCCTCCCAACTGCTGGGATTAAAGGCGTGCACCATCACTGCCCAAGTTCTTAATGATATCTTAATGGTTCTTTTTTGTTGTTGTTGCATGCATGATTTTGATGTAATACACAACAACTCTGCATAGCTAAACCCCAGATTTCCTCCTATATAGTTATTTTGAAATTCAGATCTTTAGGGTCTCAGTACATTTTCAAAATAATTTGAGCTATTCTAGACCTTTAATTTCTATATGAATTTGGGATTGACTTGTCTACTTCTGCAAAAGTCATTGATGAAAACTGACCAGTGAGTGTACTCTATACACAGAATTGGAGGATACTGCTGTCTGAAAATTAATGAGTTTTCTAAATTAGAAACATGGATTATATCTCCATTTATTTAGGATTACCTTGATTTCCCAGTAATTTTGATAGTTTTTTAGTACATAAGCTTTTAAAAATATTTTGTTCTTTTTAATGCTACTGTAAATGGATCAAATTCCACTCTAGGATTGCTCCAGCATACACATCATTTTTCCATCCCTTTGTTTTCAACCTATTTGTGCCTTTGAACCCAAAGTGTATCTTTTCTACATAGCATGAAGTTCAATCTTATTATCTATTCTTTTTCTATTTTTTTTTTCAAAAAAAAAAAAAAAAAAACCAAAAAAACCAAAAACAGGATCTCACAATTGTAGCCTTGGCTGGCCTGGAACTCACAGATATTCACCTGCCTCTGTCTCCTTAGTGCTTGCACTAAAGGTAAGCACCAAAAAGCCCAGTCACAATCATTAAAGTCAAGTGCCACCAGACCCAGCCAGAACCTATGCCTTTTATTTTATTTTACCATTTTTGTTTGTTTTCAAGACAGGGTTTCTCTGTAGTTTTGGAGCCTGTCTTGGAATTTGCTCTGTAGAGCAGGCTGGCCTTGAACTCAGAGATCCTCCTGCCTCTGGGTTTAAAGGTGTGCACCATTGCTGCCTGGAGAACCTATGCCTTTTGACTAAGTGTTTACAAAAAACTTCTAATTGATTGGGCATCTCTCTCAGTCTACTTGTTTTCCATATGTCTTATTTTATTTTTTCCCATCTCCTGTGATTCTTTAGAGCCAGAATGGCTCTCCTCCGGCATTTCATCACCAGCTTCCACAGCACTCAATAGCAATGGGTTATTTTGCTTTTATTTCCTTTCTAGGATTTGCCTGATGCTCAAAGGTAGGAGAAGACAAGGAAAGCAAACTGTCTCAGTCACACCTGGATGGCAAAGCTGGGGGAAGTGTCTCAGTCTCTCTTTCTACCCTGTTCCTGGCTGTCATGGAACTTAGAGATCCACCTGCCTCTGCTTCCTAAATGCTGGGATTAAAGCAGTGCACAATACTACTTGGCTTTAATTTCTTCATTTAAAACATTAAAAAAAAAAATTCCTAATGGTTCCTCTGGCGATTTGAGGATCTTTTTTTTATACAAGTATAGTTTTTTTGCAAATTATGTATTAATCTCTTTTTTGTGATTATATATTAATCTGATAAACCCCAAACTATAGTTCTTAATTATGCAACTGCCTTTCAATTCAGCTAAGACAATAAAAGAACAATTTATTTATAGTCTTTTATATTTACTCCTGAAACTAATAATCATAGTGGTTCTTTTTTTTCTTCTAGTTACCATCTTGGACAACCTTGAACAGTTCTGTAAGGCAGATCTGCAAACAACAAATGTGTTGGTGCTTGTTTATTGGGGATTTAAAAAAATTCCTCTGATATTTTGAGTTTTGGTTTGAATGTTTGAAACAGGGTCTTGTTTTACAGCCCAAACTAGCCTTGAACTAGTATGTCTCAATTTCTGAATAACAACATATCTGGGCTCTCCAGAAGAACAATATCAGTAGAAGGTATGTGTATCTCTGTATACATCAAGAGTTTCTTGCTGGGGATTCTTAGCATGTAGAGATGATGTCCAAAGTCCAGCAGCTCTGATGTCCATGGACAGGAATGGGATGTTTTAGTTTAAGGGGGTGTGGGGAGGGATATACCTCCTTATCTAAGTATCTCCAAATCCATAAAGTTGACACATAAAATTAATCATCAGTATTGGCACAATTTATTAACAGGTAAGGATTAAACACATCTCCAGTTACTTTAAAGACTTTTCTCAATTAAAACCAGCAACATTTACTCATTTTTTATGAGTACAGTGGGAGGTGAACATCATAGTACACACGCAGATGTCTGAGGACAGCTTGCAGAAGTTGGTTCTTGACTTCCACTATATGGGTCCATGGGGTAGAACTCTAGTTCCCAATTTGATGGAAAGCCCTCTTAACTGCTAAGACATCTTGCTGGTCCCTACTTTTTATCTTTGAGGCAGGGTCTTAATAAGTTACCTAGCCTAGCTTCCTGATTCAAGCTCCTGAGTAGCAGAGATTGTAGGCAATATGTCACCACACTCACTCAAATATTTCTGACACCAACTTTTAATTGCTTCTTTGAGAAAAGAGTTTCTGTGTAGCCCTGGCTGTACTGGAACTCACTTTATAGACCAGGCTGGCCTCAAACTCACAGAGACCCACCTGTCTCTGCCTCCTGAGTGCTGGAACTAAAGGCATGTGTCACCAACGGCCGGCCACTGATCTCTTTTTATAAGGGTTCTGAGATTTATTTACATCATTCTGGTTATCAGTACTTCATTCTTTTCAGGTCCTTTATATATTATGTTTTGTTCATTCATTCATGCCAGTGGTCACCCAGGTCATTAACAGGCCTTTTGGATATGTGAATACTGCTGCTATCAGCATTCTTTTTCTTTTTTGGAGACAGGTTTTCTTTGTGTAGCTCTGGCTGTCTTGGAACTTGATTTGTAAACTAGACTGGCCTCAGACTCACAGAGATCCACCTGCCTCTGCCTCCAGAGTGCTGGGATCAAAGGTGTGCGATAATACCTGGCTGCTATTAGCATTCTTATATCCAGTACTACAGATAGATCTCATACTAGGCAAGCCTCTACTACAAGCTCAAAACCTATTTAAATCCTTTAATTTTAAGTTGGGCTGTTCTATTGACTTGTAAGGGTTCTTTGTATTTCCTAGACGCTAAAGCTTTATTTAGTACATGACCATGACTTACACAAAAATGATCCCATTTTTTTAAGGTGGTCTGTTTATTGTCTCAAAAGTCTTAATACACAGATCAGTGTTTCTGTTCTGTTGGTTTTGAGACAGGTTTCTTTGTGAAGCTTTGGATCATGTCCTGGAACTAATCTGTACATCAGGCTGGCCTGGAAGTCACAAAGATCTGCCTGCCTCTGCCTCCTGAATGCTGGCATCAAAGGCTTCCAACACCACTACCCCTTGTCAAGTGTTTGGTTTTTGGGGCAAGAGTCTCACTATATGTTGCTAGGGCTGCTAACACATGAACTCAGAGTGATCCTGCCACCTCAGCTTCCTTAGCTGTGACTTCTGACATATGACAACCAAGCCTAGCTAGAATTCTATTTTCCTTCTACTGGTGCTGGGGACTGACCCCAGAGCCTTCTCATGCTGATTAATGGCTCCACTGCTAAGCAACACCCAAACCCGCAAATCTTGCTGATCATCTTTTTTCTAGAACACTGAATATCATCCAACTGCTTTGTGGTATTTCACTTTTGCTTGCCTCAGGCCAGGATCCCACCACAGCCTCCTGAAGGCTGGATATGGACATTTAGCACCATATCTGAATGGCTAGTATTTATAATGGAAGTCAGCTGTTAACCGTAGTGCTGTCCCTTTATATATGAATTATCTTCTTGTTTTCCAGATTTATCTTAAAGCAGTATGATAACAATTTAGCCAGGTGCTGATATCTTTGCATATTTTACTTTAAGGTCACTAAGATATTGAACTGTACAGATCAATATTTTCATTCCACAGTCACACCTTTAAGGCCAGCACTCAGGAAGTAGAAACACACAAATCTGTTAGTCTGAGGGTTGCCTAGTCTGCACACTGACTTTTAAGTCAGCCAGGGCTACTGTCTCAAAATAATAAATACATGTATTTTCATCCAACCGTTGGACCCAGGCTCAGCATTATTCCCAGTAGCCCCAAGTCAGATGTAAGCCAATGAATGGATAATAAAATGTGTTAGAAACACGTACGTGCAAAGTGTAAGATAAAAAAAAAAAAAAACCACCTACAGACTCCCAATTTTCCTAATGAAGGAAGTACACTGAAGAGTTACTTGGCTTTGAAAAGCAGCTCTCAGTTGGCTATGGTGTTCATGCCTATAACACTGATGCTTAGGAGACAAATGCAGAAGGGTCATGAGTTTGAAGCTAGATTGGGCTAAAGCCTGAAACCATATCTACAAAAACAATAAAAAAGACAAGTCTGGGCCAAGCATGAGTACTTGAGTTCAAATCCCCAGAATCCATTTAAAGCCAGATGGGCAGTGTACCTGTAATCCCAGCCCTAT